TATTATGACCTACTCTAACTCGTTGTTATAATAATATATTAATGTGTGCAAAGAAATGATTATGAAATTGTTCATTAATTGTACCTACTCGCTATGAATTAGGAAGACTCATTTTTAATAATTAAATGAAACGGAGGAACAAAATATAGAAAATGAACAAGAATAAATTTAACGGTTGCTCATTTATTTTGTTATTTCCCGGTCGTTTAGTTTTACTTTTAAATCAACTGTACGGGTATAATTATGATTTTTTGGCCCGTGTAATTTTTGGTGAATTCATCGTTCACATAAACTTACGTTCTTGCAATTATTGAAGTTTTACCGGTAGACTTACTCCGTTATGGCTGATGATAATAAATCACCTATCTAATACTTTCTCATAAACGAAATCTACAATTACACCGAAATTTATTTTACTGGAATTCAACTAATTGTACTGTTATTTTTCCGAAGCTTTGATGCAATTCACTTTCAAGTTCATGCTAATTTACATTAATTCGGCCTATTATAATATACATTAGTGCGTCGATATTAACCCGTCACGTTTATATGTTTAGATCTACACCGAGTAGACAACTATAACAGTTTTAATCGTTAAAATATATTAGTTGTATAATGTTCAGTAAAAAAAAGGCGGCACTTTACCTACACAAGTAGGTATAATAGTCAATAGTTTGAATCAGGTTGTGGTTATACAACAATATTTTCGTAGGTAAATGTTAAAAATGACTGAGTTTTCTATCTGGTGTCACAATCACTTGTTTATCTCTACAACATAATCAAACGAATCTATACTATTTATTCACACATTATTATGTAAATTATTTATTACATATTATTATTATAACAGCTTTTTAGCTATTTGCAGTCACCATAACGACGTACCTGTAATAATTATTATCTATTATTGTTATGACCGCTTGTTACAATGTGTGTGTGTGTGTGTGATGTTATTATATCCTAGAGTACGTCATAGTAATATTATAATGCACACAAACTATAATAATAATAATAAATAACATATTAGCCACGAGGATTTTATTGTTATAGTTATTGTACAAGAATATGCGATCATTAATTTTATTATCCGCAATGTGCTCGCGTTACTATATCGAATGTGAAAGCAATAAAATGATATTTTTTTTTAGTTAGAATGACCGGTGAAAATATTTTGCGCAATTTTATCGTCTGCATTACTTTTATTTACTGTACAATAATTATTCTATATTTGCCAAAAAAAGAACCCGTGCACCGTGTTATTTATTGCTAACGCAGTAGTAGGGAGTTATAAAACTTGAGACTTTAACATCGCCGTGCTGGTACAATAATAATGTAGAAACGTTATGCCAATAACAACAAGAATAAAATAATACCCAACAGAGCTTCTGAAGATTCGGTATAAATAAATAGAATAAAGGTCGTGCAAACTCTTAAATATCGCACACTTTAAATTCAATTGTTAATCTTTCAGAATACATGTTATTTACTTTTTACAGCTACACTTGTTATTCCAAAAACAGTTATTATCGATGCCGTAATAATAATAATGGTAATAATAGTAAAAAAGGTACTCATAAATGCACTTTTTTTTATCCTCTTGAATATATTAACGCTTTAAACAAACACTTACTCAGCTCGCGTCGCCGATAAACTTACTTTTTAATATTTACATATATTTATTTTTTATGTAAACGTTTTTGTATATTGTAACTATTATTTATTTTACAAAATAACTAAATCAATTGTTTAGTGTAATAAATTATGTACATATCAAAATATCAAACAAGTGGGAGTGATTTTAGATAACTTATTTAATCGAAAATAAATATTTTTTTAGAAAAATTGATTCGGGCAAGTAGGTAGATGAAATTTTAGCTTTAGTAACTGAAAAATCCGATTATTTTATATTAATTAATGAAATATTAAGTGTTTATTCAATTAAATTCCCAAAGTAGAGAAATTAATTTCTATTATTTGCTATAATAATAATTTCAGATTTGTATCTTCATAAACAAAAATAGAAGATGACTGATCATTAAGTAGAAAACACGCTAAAAGATAGTTTGCAATTTAGTTTGAGCTATATAAATAAATTAAATCTATACATTTTTAAAAAAAATTGTATTACCTTTTAGTTTTATCAAAAACTAAATTTATTACAAAAAGAAATAATATAAAAATTGAAATTAGTTTTAAAAAGTCCATCACGACCACAAGTCAATCAAAGTCACTTCAAAGCCCAAGCCTGAGTTTTTTTAGTGCAATTATAAAATGATGTGTAACATAAAACGTTTTATTTCAAAAATACATTGTTTGTCTTACTTAAACTCAGCTCGAGCAATTTATTGTATGACAAAAATAATTAACAACTTACCAAGTAAACGTAATACTACCGGTACCTAATTTTTTATTTAATTGCTAAAATGTTGAAATAAACCAAAAGCATAACCTAGGAATTGACAATTCATACATTTTAAATTGAGAATATATTTAAAACGTGGGTTTTATTCATATTAAAATAGTTAATGTATACTCGTGAAAATGATGTGTAAAATCAGACATGAATGATACAACGCTTGACGTGATGCAACATATTATACACAACTGTGCTGTAGTAATGGATTCATTATTTCCAGGCGCAATTAAGAATACGAATAATAAGTAATTATTATTCCAAAGGATCTCAATTAAGATTACCAAATATATTCAAAAGCCGCAGTGACATATTTTAATGTAGTTCAAAAGTGATTTGTGCTTTCCACGAGATGATTTTCATTATTCAAACAGTATTAATTAAACGTAACAAACGGCCAAGTTAAGTGAGCGCCATATTTCTTTAAGTTATTAGCAAATATTATAATAATTAACAACGACAATAAGCAAATGAGACGACGAATATATAATCAAGCTCATCAGTCAACAAAAATTAATTTCATTGTGACTATGATATATCAAGTGTTCTTCTTTTGGTCGAGTTGCTGAATTAATTTTTAGATTAACGAATTGAGCTATAATTTTGAGCCTGTAAATGGAAACAAAGGCGAGGAAAATGCAAACGTGTACAACAACAACAAATTTGGAACTATTGTACAGATTTTTTTTTTTTATATGCATATAGAATAACCGAAAACATGTAATACACTCTGGCATTCATCTATTGTAACAAAACGCCCAACAGTAAAGTATTGGTTTTCGCAAAAGCCGACACAAGACACTTGCTGGCGCAATGCCATTATAACTTTTTTTTTTTCTTTTTGTAAAATGTTTCATGTTACAATAGTCTGGACGAAGCGTCGATAAACGTATTCGAATAGAGACAATGATAAAGTACGAACTACCTTGTTATGTTAACTTTAACAGAAAACCCATACATAAATTACTCATAACTTCAACGTTGACAGTTGAATTAATCCGATTGTTGAATGTGCAACCGTTTGAAATACATTTTTGATCAATAGATTATAATAATTTATTAATCAATTGAAAACAAATCCGTATAACGAAAATATGTGACGTATGATTTATGCGCGATTTTATTCTACTACAACAGCTGATATAATAAAAAATATTAATTAAAAGTGAAATACTACGCCACCCATCGTGTAATATCGCTTACATTACTTTTGTTTAATTAAACCGTATACAAATAAACGTAACGTGGAAATTATTTGACTTTCCTAATCGTTTAAAAAAATCCGAATTTATGGTTGGAGTAATGTAAACTGAAACCTACTTGGATTTTATCATTTTTTGATCATAATATCGCTGCCGCGGCGTAGCGTATATGTGTACATTATAATATGTAAATCGTTTTGAGAAGTTGAGCTACATTTAGAAATTTAGATAGTGACATTCCAGTTGGTTACATTTTTATTGCTAGTGGAAATATTTTCAAGTTAATCAAATATATTTTAAAGGATATCAAGAATTAATTTTTCATATATAGCAAACATTTTATTTTATATACTTAAAACAATTTTTATTAGAAAATGTCCAAGTTGAAAACTTTATATGATACTTTGTTGGTAGAAGGTTATGTTTGTTTGTTTTTAACATTTTTTTTTTTAAATATATAACTTTTAGAGTAAATAATAGTGTAATGTTGAAACATTTAATACGTTAATAAATTTAAACGTTTAATAAAAACGTAATTGTCCACATTCACACTCAAGTAAATGTTATAGCTCGTAAACTCTAGCTAGTAAATTGCCAATTTCTTTTTTCAAAACTATATTTAGTGTTTAACTATGTATCTTTTGATCATTTAAATTTAGAAAAATTGTTTTCAAATCAGTTATGAAATATAAAATATGTCTATGTATCACTAAAAAGTCAGAATGTAACTAAAACGTCTAATTAAATAAAATGTCATTCTAACCTAGTATAGCGATAAAATATCTTATTCTAACAACTGTAAAAGTATAACTTATCAAATTAAAAGTACAACAAAATGAGTTCTACCACACAATAACCATGTTATCCAATCTTGTAATTATCTGTTCCATATATTTCTCAATAAAAAGTAAGTGTATTTTCTTATGTAAATTAAACAATTATAAATAACAATTTTAACTGATAGGATAATATAAAAAAGTGTTGCAGGTGGGATCATTCCATTTTGTAGACTAAAAAAAAGGTTATTCACGGGATTTTTTTCACTCCTAATCTTTTCTTTTGAAATAATATTTATCGAACCATTTTAATTGAAGATAATTCGATTTCAAACATATTGTAATATAGTCTGGTCAGTAAGTTTAGGAAACATAAGGCCTGCTCTTTGTGCAAAAAAAATGGAACGAAAACATAATAAGGCCTATAATATAGTATTTTTTTTATTCTAAAGCCGCGTTGACAAACGTGTACAACGCATCACTACTTCCCTTTTAGCGATCGCCATGATCGTTTACACAAATTTGTTTACCGTTCGTGTGGATCTCGACGGATCCAAACAAATATCGATTTGATAATAAAAATTTTGAAAAAAAATTGTAAAAACTCACGTCCGTCAGTAGTTCCTTCAATCTGGTCAGCCGGTCGTCCGTTCCTCTGGTGGGAAGATACCGCGCCTCGACCGACGGGCTGACGATAGACATAGCAGCCAACGTGCCGAGAATCAACAACAAGGAAAGTTTACCGGTCATCGTCTACAAAATTAAAATACAAAATGTTATCGTCGAAGTTGTATCCATATATTAATCTTTTCTCTCTAATAATCAGTCTGGTCGACCAGTGCATCGCGGTATACCCACCACAATACGTTTTCTCAGTATGCAATGCGGGCACTCCGTTCTAGTACAACAGTCACACGAGCGTCGGCTGACTAGTGCGAGATCGGAAAAGGTCGGCCCTAGCTTTGGGTGCAGATTTTTATAGCGGTCGCCGGCGGACTTGACAGGGTGCGCGTGGGTGTACCGCAGTCTAGTGAATGAAGTCGCTGTACACTGATGATGTCACGTGCTTAAACGACCAATGCGGCGAGCCGTGAGTCATCCCTCCCCCCCAAAAGGGCCACACCCTTTCGTCCCCCCTTGGACGGTACCCGCCGCGTGCGTCAGGAACTCTTGTGGTCCGACCGTGAAACGTTTTTCGCCCGAATACTTAAGTACGGGTACTTGGATGGTTGAATTTTGCACAAAAAAAAAAATTAATAACAGCTGATAAAAATAAGAAAGCCCTAAAATTTCAGATCCCCAGCTTAACTCTAACGAGTCCCAATATCTCTGACACAACTTGGATGGTTCATATTACCTGACAAATAACAATCTCGTTGATTTTTTCTGATTTAACAATGTTTTTTTCAACGTTTTAAATATTTTTCTTAATTTTCTATAATTTAACTATTGTATATTACAAATTAATTTGATTTCTTTTTGTATAAAATTCTGTTTTATTGTTATGAGAGGATGAATGTTTGATATACTAAATCAACTACACTCATATAATATAATATTTTTATTAACATTTTCTTTAAAAAAAAATAATTACGTTTTTATGAATATTTTAATTATTATTTTCTTAAATAACTCGTCTTCTCTTGGAAGAAATTTGTTTTATATAAACTGCTAATTGCGGGGCTGGACTAGCAAATAGTTGCAAACTGAGACGGATCGACTAGCACCTGTCCGGAATCGATCGGAGCAAGTTACCGGGTTACATGAAGTTGGCTCACCTTTCATAAAATTGGTTAAATCTTGTATAATATTTACTTAAAAACTTTGAAAAACGACTTGCAAACTTTTGATAGAATTTTCGACATGATCAAACAATGTGGGTTGGACAAGTACAGGTACGTCATCGTCAAGCTGTTATTTTATTTAAAAATATGCATGGTTATTGACCTTTAATGATACTTAATAATAATTTATAAATTACCATGTATGCTATACATATATATATATTAAGCGCAACCTCCAAATAGCATGTTAAAAGGTAGTTTCTAAAAACATCAACATAAATTAGAAATAATCCATTTTTTTTTTTTTATAGATTGAGTAGTCCAAAAAACAGGATTTTGCTGAAAAACAAAATTGCGCCAAGTATGCTGAAGGGGGCAAAACTTCATATTTTTAAATTGGGTCTGCTAATCTTGTTTATATTTTAGTTCCAAATAGAATCTGAGAGGAAATGTAGGATTATTTTAGAGAATTGTAAGCAAAAGATTAAAGTACAAATATTGGTTGAAAAATAACAGAAAATATTTATAATTTGTGAACATAACAACTTATTACACGATTCATTAAGCAATATTATAAAAAATAATATAAATTTAACACTCGAGTGTACATTTGATTAATAAAAAATATAATGTATATAATTATATTTTGTGATTAATAATTATTGACTATTTGTAGACCGTAAAAAATTGAATTTACATATTAAAACCCATTCGTTTAAAAATTACCCTACTAGACTTTAAAATCTTTTTTGTTTCAAATAAAAAAGTATCCATATATTAAGTTAATTTATTGTTAAGCTTATAATGGATGCATCGAAGAATATTATTGTTCCTATGTTTTACTGATATTTATGTTTAATATTGTAGTAAAGAATCGTCCATTGGAGATTAGATATCAAGTTCTATTTTGCATTGTATATTATAATATATGTCATGTTATATGTAATATATGTCAATTGTTTTTTTGTTATTATTACTATTTATGTAAAATACTTGGCCTAAAGGTAGTATTACAATTGAATTATTCAATATACCCATTATGCATATTTCAACAGTATTAATAACGTAAATATGTTTACCAAACTCATAAAGTATTTTATCATTTTCACTAGAAAATTGTGTGTCAGATAAATTATAAGTAATATAATATATTTTATCGATCGTAATTAATAATTGGTTGCATAATCTCAACATTGATTTTAGCCAGTCAAATAACATTTCTGTTGGGTAGTAAAACTACAATGACAAGTGACACTATGGAACGTGAACTGTTTGATATCAATGTTATATAACTTAATAATAACGTCATAACAGTTCTATATAGCTATTCAATACATTCCAATCAATGTAGGTACATCACATCAACCGTCAACCTAGTTCAATTTATACGATACACTGTGGTCCGTATTTATAATCAACTAAAAGCAGTGTCTGTATGAACTATAATTATATGCAAAATGTTTATAATTACAGTTGTATTAACATTGCAAAGAGCATAATAAGAATTGGGGAAAATGGCAAACTAAAGCGAGATTAAATCAGGAACTCAATGACTATCAGCTTTATGAAAAGGACATATTGTTATTATTAAAAAAATGTATATTAGTTCGTTCGTGGGTTATATAGCAACAGCTATACCTACATACTTAAACATTTACCTACCTACAAAACTATTATAATCAATGATTTTTAATATGGTTAAGTAGTAAGTACTTAGTAACATAGTAGTAACCAATCTAAATTGAGAACTCAAAAATATAAAAACTAATTTTTTACAGTTAAATGTTATTAGTTATATTATTTATATATAGTTGAAATTAATGAAAATGTCATTGTTAATATTTTGACGTTGGTTGTTAATTATTGGTTAATTCATGACTGAAAGCTATTGAAAAAAGTATAAAGTTAAATTTGTTAAATAAATATAATTCTAAAATTCCAAAGTCTTTTTTGGAAAAAAAAAATTTTATTATTGATTTTTGTATTAATAATATAATTTTTTTTTTTTTTAATAAAACAAAATAGTTTTTAGCAAATAAAACGAAGAAATCTTTGACATAGAATTAACAAGTTTTTAACATTTTCTTAAAAAAAAAAGAAACCAAATGCTTTTAAATAACAACCCTGACTAAAATGGACTATTATTAACAAGGCACTTTATAGTCGGAGTGGTTGGAAAATAAATGGATATAATTTAAGGCGTTTACAAGATAAACGTATAGTAGTAGTTCAATCGACACTTCAAGCGGCTTCTTTCTAGTATTAAAATACATACCGTCTGCAATAAAACCTTAACGAGGCATCTCACGTACATCGCATTACCGTGCTTAATACTGTTAAGAATAAATTTTAACTTTTAGCTGTACTTTGGGTTTAAAATTTACATAATTTTTTTTCCATAAGCAAACGTAAACGCCGAGCACAAACATTTAATAAAGGCAAATTGTATAGCTTTAAAGCCTTATATTTTTAGTAGTATACACCCGAAACCAGTTCAAAGACAGTGCTCTCACAGTTGGTTCAGAAATCATTTTACTTTTACATTAAGATTTATTTACAAGACGTGACACAACGCTAAAATGTATATAGTCATTTGCTAACATAGCAAATGATATCTGTTTTTCACAAAAACATGTCATGGATAAGACGAGGGTTGTCGGGGAAAAGTTTTCTTGATATACCATAATAATATTGTTATTAAGAATTACAAGCTTGATGATATTGAATTTTGCAATTTTCAAAGATTTTACATGCGAGTGTACGTACTGGTAAGCTTGAATTTTAATTTTTAATTTTGTTCATGGGCAAAACTACTCAACTTGCTAGCAACGTACGTCTTTTGGGACATTTTGACTCATATTATTATTACTGCATGTTATATATGGGGAACAATAACTCACAATAACATACTTGTGATTTTTCTACCCACTCACTTAAAATAAATCGAAGACAAATATCCTCAGGCTCTACATTTCCCGGTTTTATTTTCATAATATGTCCGGTTAAAAAATGTATTAAAACATATAGACAATTCTTTCTCATGACAGATTTTAGTTATGTTCATTCGGTTAAGGGTATGTAAATATTGATTTGCTTGTATTACTATTTTTAAGTCTTTTTTTTTTATTATTATCTGTAATAATTGTTTAATAAAAAATACATTTAAAAGGAAAATAGTTTTAATATTCTTTTTTTATGTATGGTATTAAAAATATATGGAGGGTTTTTACTATGAATTAAGAATTTTTCATAATTGTATAACTATTCAAAATTAAAAAAAAAATAACTAAAATATTTTATTTTATAAACAGGTATCTTACAGCTAGCTAAAAATTGAATTTAGTATTTGGAACCCGTTACAAAATGCATCTTATTTACTATGGGAAAACTTAATTTAAAAGTATTTTAAATTGAAGCTATGGCCAAAAAGGGCGCACACTAGTTGCCTCCCATCCTCAGGTAGTCATCAGATTTATATACTAGTTGCCTCCCAAGAATATTGGAATTCCCTCCGGTGACCTTTATTACTATCTTATATAATATACTTAATATTTTGGGTCATAAACTACTAGTTGTCTCCCGTGCCAGGTATTCAATATTTTTCATCCGAATTGCCTCCCAGGTTATCCGAATTCCCTCCCAACGATCCCTTTTAAACCAGGTAGGTACCCAGTACAACGAAACTGTACTTATTTTTTATAATTTCACAAAAATACTTGCATACTACCAAATTGTGGACTGTTTTAGAATAATCAATTATAGTGTGTATTTTACTTTACATGTGCAATAAGTAACCGATAGTAGTAATTCTGTATGTATTAGTTTTTTGTGGAAACTAAATTTAAAAACATTTAAAATGTTTAGGGTTTTGCCTTTTTCGCTTGTCATTTCTTTAGTTACTTCCATTTTACACAAATTAAATTAAAATTAAACGCCACGCAATTACCGCTTTTTAGACACTACAGACTACTTTAATCTACAATAACATTGATATCGGGATACCCACACATAACAACTATATAGATAGCCATCAAACGTTGACGATTAAAAAATGATTACAGCATAAAATACTATTATTGTATAAAAACAAATTATTGATAAAATTTTTTTTTTTAAATCAGATATTTTTGGGAGGAAATTCGGATAAAAAAATATTAAGTACCTGACACGGGAGGCAATTGGTCGTTTTTGGGAGGCAACTGTTGTGCGCCCGACCAAAAACATCTCTTAAAA